ATACATACATACATACATACATACATACATTACATACATACATACATACATACATACATACATACATACATACATACATACATACATACATACATACATACATACATACATAACATACATTACATACATACATACATACATACATACATACATACATACATACATACATACATACATTACATACATACATACATACATACATACATACATACATACATACATACATACATACATACATACATACATACATACATACATACATACATACATACATACATACATACATACATACATACATACATACATACATACATACATACATACATACATACATACATACATACATACATACATACATACATACATACATACATACATACATACATACATACATACATACATACATACATACATACATACATACATACATACATACATACATACATACATACATACATACATACATACATACATACATACATACATACATACATTACATTACATTACATACATACATACATACATTACATACATACATACATACATACATACATTACATTACATTACATTACATACATACATACATACATACATACACAACACCCACACAGCACACACACACACACACTGCTGCTGCTGCCAACTAAGTAGCCACTGCGGTGATGTTGATGCTCGGGTTGGAGGTGTTGCTCAATGCCTTCTTGGCACCAGATACCACCTTGGAGATCTGCTCTTCCTTGGCATGCATCGAACGGCCACATGCAACATATCTACATTCCTTGCTTCATGTGCCCTTCCATTCCTCCGTCGCTCAATTGTCAAGCGATGTAAGCTCAGGCCAGCATACGATCTACTTCTCAGGCACAAACAATCACAAACTTCTGTCATGATCATATATTCTAAGACAAATACGCCCTTTCACCGCTGTGACAAGAGCCCGCAATCAACAAAACGGCAACCGAGTCACCACGTCTGACTGGTTGGCAGCTGAGACAGTGGAATTGCTGGCAGCCGCTGCAGCTGCTGCAGCCGCTGCAGCCCCTGCAGCCGGCGCCGCTTTGCCCGCCTGACGCACCTCAGCAAGCAAACATTTGCCAACGGCTCCACACACAACCTGCTGCCAACTAAGTAGCCACTGCGGTGATGTTGATGCTCGGGTTGGAGGTGTTGCTCAATGCCTTCTTGGCACCAGATACCACCTTGGAGATCTGCTCTTCCTTGGCATGCATAGCATGGCCCATCACGCAAAATTGCAAAATGGCGGGTTTGAAAGGCAAAAATATGGCACACTGGCCCAATCCAAGCCTACCTTGTGGCATGTCTGGCAACAGTCACCGACTGTGACTCTGGCAGTAAGAAAACGATTGCATGCTCTGCACGATGCGACATACCATTGCTTCACATGCCCTCCAATCTGTTCATCACTCAATCGTCAAGCTATGCAAGCTCAGACCCATCACACGATCTACTCCTCATACTGGCACAGACAATAATTCTATACTCTGAGACAAGCCCTGTAGCAGCTGTAACATACCTGAGTACAAGACAAACCTGCACCCGAGCCACCACATCTGTTTGATTGGCAGCTGCAGCAGTGAAATTGCTGGCAGCGGCTGCAGCTGCAGCCACTGCAGCCGGCGCCGCTTTGCCTGCCTCACTCACCTTGGCTAAACCACGCCGCAAACAAAAACACACACACACACACACACGAACACAGACAAACACACACACACACACACACACAAACACACACACACACACACACACACACACACACACACACACACACACACACACACACACACACACACACACACACACACACACACACACACACACGCACGCACGCACGCACGCACGCACGCACACGCGCACGCACGCACGCACTCACACACACACACACACACACACACGCACACACACACACGCACACGCACGCACACACACACACACACACACACACACACACACACACACACAACACACACACACACACACACACACACAGACAGCACACACACACACAAAACACACACACACACACTGCTGCTGCTGCCAACTAAGTAGCCACTGCGGTGATGTTGATGCTCGGGTTGGAGGTGTTGCTCAATGCCTTCTTGGCACCAGATACCACCTTGGAGATCTGCTCTTCCTTGGCGTGCATCGAACGGCCACATGCAACATATCTGCATTCCTTGCTTCATGTGCCCTTCCATTCCTCCGTCGCTCAATTGTCAAGCGATGTAAGCTCAGGCCAGCATACGATCTACTTCTCAGGCACAAACAATCACAAACTTCTGTCATGATCATATATTCTAAGACAAATACGCCCTTTCACCGCTGTGACAAGAGCCCGCAACAAACAAAACTGCAACCGAGTCACCACGTCTGACTGGTTGGCAGCTGAGACAGTGGAATTGCTGGCAGCCGCTGCAGCTGCTGCAGCCGCTGCAGCCGCTGCAGCCCCTGCAGCCGGCACCGCTTTGCCCGCCTGACTCACCTCAGCAAGCAGACATTTGCCAACGGCTCCACACACAACCTGCTGCCAACTAAGAAGCCACTGCGGTGATGTTGATGCTCGGGTTGGAGGTGTTGCTCAATGCCTTCTTGGCACCAGATACCACCTTGGAGATCTGCTCTTCCTTGGCATGCATAGCATGGCCCATCACGCAAAATGGCAAAATGGCTGGCTTGAAAGGCAAAAATCTGGCACACTGGCCCAACCCAAGCCTACCTTGTGGTCTGCACGATGCGGCATACCATTGCTTCACATGCCCTCCAATCTGTTCATCACTCAATCGTCAAGCTATGCAAGCTCAGACCCATCACACGATCTACTCCTCATACTGGCACAGACAATAATTCTATACTCTGAGACAAGCCCTGTAGCAGCTGTAACATACCTGAGTACAAGACAAACCTGCACCCGAGCCACCACATCTGTTTGATTGGCAGCTGCAGCAGTGAAATTGCTGGCAGCGGCTGCAGCTGCAGCCGCTGCAGCCGGCGCCGCTTTGCCTGCCTCACTCACCTGGGCAAAACCACGCCGCAAACAAAAACACACACGCACACGAACACAAACAAACAAACAAACACACACACACACACTTAAACTCCAGATGGAGGGTGCTAATCCTTTCGAGTACAACTGGTCAGTCTCGGCTTAGGTAAGGTTCTTCATGAATAATTTTCGGCGCACAGTCACTTGGCTTCCGTCTAGCAGCGAACACGTTACCCGAAAGAACAAGAAGCACAAACAGCGCCGCAACCAAGGGGGCCAAAAGGACTTTCAGAATCACTGAAGCAGGTACAGGCGTCCACGTCTGGACACCCTTCCCACCTTCGGCAATAGCTTCATTGCGCGCAGTATGCCAAAGGTGCTGCACGCCCCTGCGGTAATAGTGAAAGCCTGATGTTGGTGGCAGGGAATTCTGCCACTCCGCACACACACGCCCCTCAGTGAGGGGCGAGAAGTCTCTTTTTCAGCAGGAAGATCACATGCTCAACTTCGTGTCTCTATCGTTTGCCAAAATATCCACAGCGGCGAGGGGAACGCGAAACTGCCCTAAGCCGCTCAGAAGACGGGAACGAAAGATCACCTAGAATATGGCTGGAAAGGAAGGGTGTTTCAATGTGGACAACTCAAACTGCGGAGGCAGCAAGCAATGCAACAAACATGCAACAAGCAGCGCCAATACACAATCATGCAGCAACACCACACGCTTTTTCCGGAAGAGGAGCGTCATGATGGATACCACGAAAACCTGCACACAAACCACGGTGGGCCAGTGCAAAAGGAGGTGCCGGACTGCATTGCCGAAGTCATTCACCAGAACATTCCCACGAGCTGGGAACCGCAATCGATGAGCGGAGTTTCCACCTGCCATCTTTGGCATGAATGCAATCATAGTCGTGGGAAGCAGCAATGTCGGCGTACGTGCCGCCTCGGGGTATAGTGCAATGAGGTTGGCGGAGTCTTGCAGATCCACCGATGCATATGGGGCGGTCAGTGTGCACTCCCGCGAACTGGGCTGCTGCCTTGACCGCCGCGTCATGAGACTGAAGGCTGCCTCTGCAGTAGAAGCCCATCGGAGGCAACCACACCTCATTCCAGTTTGTGTAGTCGTGATTGGGAAGAGGCTGCTCCTAAGCTCCTCATCTCGCAGAATGTTGATGGCAGCATGCATATTGGTATTATGGGCCCAGAAAAACGTCGAGTTCGACTGTGTGCGATGCTTATCAGGTAGCAATCGACGAGGCACGAACGAGAAAAGGACCCCGAAGAGGTTCTTCCGGGCTATCTTCTTGTCGGGCAAGAACTGGCGATACGTCCGTGTGGTCTTGCGAATATAGGGCCAGCACTCTTCGCAGATGCCAAGCTGAACAATGAGTTGTGGCGGCATGGACTCCGGGGGGATCTGGAATTGGCTGGAAATCTCCTTGACTACATGCGCCGTCCAGGGGCCTGGGTTGCCATGGGGCAACAAAAAATGGGAGTTCTGAGACGGACTTCACCCGCTGCTCATCTTCGATGATGTTGTGGCGATGCGGCATGAGGCTCCTGTAGACCGTCTCCCAAGATTTCTTCCACTTGTCAGGTTCTGGAAACACTAAGGTGGCAATGCAGGGCAACGTGTAGTAAAGAACACCGTCAATCAGGATGGCAATTTCCTCGATCCGGCAGCCAGTGCGGAGCATGAAACGGTGGCTGACCAAGGCAGGTACTTGTTGGCGAACAGGGAGATGAAGCAACTCAATCTGGTTCACGGGTACCCTGAAGTGAGCAGGCGGCAGTGTCGGCGATCGAGGTCTCCTCTGATCATCATGAGCGCGACGACCATCACCTTTCCATTCTCCCCAGTCCTCTTCATCCTCAGACATCCCTTGTGGTCCCGGTGTGAGCTTGACCCGGGAGCGCCGGGATCCAGCAAAGCGGGAGCGCCTCCCGCTTGCATGATTGCGCACCGCTCTGACGTTGGTCGATGAGCTAAGTGCTGGAACATCACGTGAAGAGCTGTGCGCCTGCACATTGTGCTGATGTACCAGGCCGTGTGTCTGGACAAAGAGCTGCATCTCATTGCCATTGATGAAGTTTGGAAGGTGATCCAGCGTCACTTGGCTCGTGGTTTGGACCGTGCCGTCTGGGCGTAGTAGGCTGCTAACAACATACTCCGCCATGTTCAAATAAGGGGCGCCGCCATGCAAGGGCCAACACCTCCGAGCCGACTGCATGCAGATACATGAATGACACAACAAAACGCTCCGACAAGCAATCACAGGAGAACACCACAAGCAACACAGCAACAAGGCAGCATGCAGATTTTGTCTCGAGTCGTCACCGAACATCACGAAGGAGATGCGGATCGAAACCTTTGGCTTCATAAAGGCGTTTGAGAGCGTCAAGTCCAAGTTGTTGCTGAACCGCAGGTTGTGCACTACGTATAATGAGCCACGAGCGAGAAGACCACGAAGAGTAAGTAAACATCTGATCATTGGCACTCCGAATCCCTTTAATTTGAGGGGGATGATCAGGTAGTTGTGGTGTAATAGTCCTGGACGATGAATCACACAGGTAACCCAGCACTTTGTCATCATTCTGTAACTCAAGCATGACAGGTGGTCGATAAAATTCCAGGGAAAGAAAATTCTTGAGCACCGATGATTGCGGGGCAGAATCACGTAGCAGGATGAAGCGACTGTCGACATAACGCTCGTGCCAGATCACCCCGACATCGGGCATGCGAAAACGTAGAGAGCACATTGTTTGGTGCCAGAAGAAGTCCTCCACCGTGGCAACCAGATTGCAGAGAGGGGGTGCTGCAGGTGATCCCATAGCGACTCCACGTTCTTGCCCGAACAAATAGCCATTGATCTCGAAGTGACTGTTATCAATGACAAAGTCAAGGAGGCATCGAAGATCTTGTTCTCGAAAGGTTCGAGGAACCTTAGTTTGACGGCGCCATTTTCCTTTGAACATACGGCGTCGATGATCTGACTTCAATTCGTACACCGACCATTGCGAGGATCGGCGGAGGCCAACTACTTGGTCATAACGATGAAGAAGTACCTGTAGTGCCTGATGGAAACGCTCTGTCAAGAGACGGCAAGGTGACGTCCCGTGGGACGCTGTGCACCGAACCCTCAAGCTTCAATACCAACCACGTAGAAAGGTGTATACGGACGATGCCGTTATAGCCGAACCCGTGTAAACGTTGCAAGGAAGAAGGAATGATAGTTACGACAGTGGTCCTGACGAATGCAGCGCAAGCAGTTGTTTTGCTCTTAATGCCCGTCACGTATGTGCGCAGTCACACATCAGATCTTGAACCTCAATTGTGTCTTGAGCCAAATGGCGATCAATGGAACTTGGGAAGCAACACCAACAAGGACCTCAGAACAGCTACCCAATTTCGGCACGGGGCCTAGAGGGTTTTAACATCCCCCATTTGGGTCGCATTGTTCATCATGCGGTCCAAACACCACAAAACGTTCCACTGGCCACGGCTTCAACTACGAAATCGTGTCGTGCATTCTTTTACTTGCTATCACTACACCGTTCATTCGCTGTGAAACATGCCGGGTTCGATTGTACGAAAAGTGAAACATTCATCCTCCAATCGAAGCACACATCCATATGCAGGTGTATATAATACACTGTGGCCACTTCACTTGACCGCCAGTGAACATTCCAGCTGCCGCATTTGCGCATCGCGCAGCTGTCATCCATAAATGGGTTGGCCACAAATGTCCACCATGCGCGCCCGCTTGTGATCGGTCTGCATATCTCCGGCAAAGAAACATCGGTGAGTAATCAATGCAAATCATAGCCATTCCAGATACCATGGACAATGCATAAATAATGAAAAGATATCATCTATAAGGTAATAGTTCCATCCATGAATATCCAGAGCGTCATAGTCGTCGGAATATGTAACCATGTACACATCCATTCATCTTGGACACATGAATATAAATCATGACATAAGTCGTTCCACCGAAACAGTGTCGATGTGACGCAAGTAACAGATGGGGACTGGCCCACATCGTACCGCAATCATCATCTTCACGAAGCATACCTGTCCCCAATGGACAGCCTATGGGTACGTCGGCGGAACTCCTCGTCCAAGTTCTTCTGGGCTTCTCGTGCCCGGACACACTTCTTGTTGTAGTCCTCTGGCAACCAGTGCCCTTTCCGAAGGCACCAATCCAGCAGGGGTGTGTCGCATTTGTTCGGGTCGACGGCCGAGATGATGGCGCTCACGTTGACCGTGTAACCATGCTTGCCAAGGTTTAGGCCATCCCTCACGAATGATATATACTTACAGTTGAAAGCTAGTGCAAAACATCTGAAAATAATATCACCCACCGGGTGCACTCGGTCCTTGACCAGGAGCTTCATTTCTTCCTTGGTGACATCGAGGATTCTTGCTGCAATCCACAGCTTGTAGAATGTGTATAGTCCCTCGCATTTGTTCACCATCATACGAATATATTCGTCAC